TCAGACACTCGCTTCATTTGCTATGAGTGTGTCGGGTGTCTGTGCATTAGGATCATGTGCCTAGAATTGAGCGGGTGTCAAAAACGCAAACACCCTAAACGCACAACGCGATCTGTGCACTCCGGGTGTGTGCTCTTTTCTTGCTGTTCATGAGTGCGACACACACTCGAAATGTATGAGTGTGATTCGGGTGCCGAAAAAAGACACCTTTGACGTTCTCTGATATACAACAATATATTTATATTGGTATTTTTACCAGAATATGCTGAAAAACTGTCAACGTTATGCTTTCTTCGTGCAAAGCTAAGAAAATAAAACGTTATTGAGTGAAGTCTGATCCCAGGCAACTAGCTAAATAGAGAGACTAAAAATAATAGATACCCAAATATTGGGCTGCTATCTCAGTAAGAATAATACTGAATAAAAAACCTTTTCCGATATATGCCTATATGGACAAGTAGTTTCAGTAGCAGTTCCAGATAAGGCAGGACTTCAAATTTCCTGCTAAATGCTTCGGATCGTTGTCCTGGTAAAATCGAAAGCTATCGGAAAATTAAGGAAAGCCCCATGCTTTCTGCTCAAAAATTAGCTGCAGAGGTCGAGTACGAAATGGGCTACCTACCTATATGACGCGATTTTTTTTTTTAATGAAGAAAAGAATTTAAAAATATCGTCAAATGCACAATATATGCAATATCAAATTTCAGTAAACTTATGTTTTTGTTTTTTATCCCCCCCTACTTGACAGCTGCATAAAGTCGGCGGAAGTTTATACCTTAATATCGCGAGAAATACGTAACGGAAAATAAAATGTAATATCTCAAATGAAAGATATACATTTCGACCATATATATATATTAACAAGTTTTAACTTAGATACTAGATAATTTCCTTAATTACACCAAAAAGTCATTTTTTTACGCACAAAAATTATTCGTACACTTCATGAAATGTTGAAAATAAACAACAATTCCAAAGATTTAAGGATTTTAATCTTTAGTGAGCCCTTCGTTGGCTTTAATGAAAGCTTGTAAACGTCGACACATGCTTTTTATAAAGTTGCTCGTCTCGTCAGCATCAAATCCCAATCCAAATTCTGTCCAAGCTTAACGGCACTTGGAATTAAATTTTGACCTGAAATGTCTTTATACATAAATTTATTAATTTTATCTTTCTTAAAGACCATTCGATCCACTATACACCCAGCTATACACCCATAAACCATCCCATTCTTGCCAACGTGCTTAAAAGTTGGAATCAAGATTTTTCCTTCATGGATTTATTTGCCTTTAAGAGGACCGCCGTGTCCAAAATTTTTACTTTTTGATTTGTCAATAATATATATATACAACAATATATTTATATTGGCATTTTTTACCAGAATATGCTGAAAAACTGTCGACGTTATGCTTTCTTCGTGCAAAGCTAAGAAAATAAAACTTTATTGAGTGAGGTCTGATCGCAGGCAACTAGCTAAAAAGAGAGACTAAAAATAATAGATACCCAAATATTGGGCTGCTATCTCAGTAAGAAAAATACTGAATAAAAAACCTTTTCCGATATATGCCTATATGGACAAGTAGTTTCAGTAGCAGTTCCAGATAAGACAGGACTTCAAATTTCCTGCTAAATGCTTCGGATCGTTGTCCTGGTAAAATCGAAAACAATCGGAAAATTAAGGAAGGCCCCATGCTTTCTGCTCAAAAATTAGCTGCAGAGGTCGAGTACGAAATGGGCTACCTACCTAGATGACGCGATTTTTTTTTTAAATAAAGAAAATAATTCAAAAATATCGTCAAATGCAAAATATATGCAATATCAAATTTCAGTAAACTTATGTTTTTGTTTTTTATTCCCCCCCTACTTGACAGCTGCATAAAGTCGGCGGAAGTTTATACCTTAATATCGCGAGAAATACGTAACGGAAAATAAAATGTAATATCTCAAATGAAAGATATACATTTCGACCATACATTTTAAACATAAAATTAACAAGTTTTAACTTAAATACTAGATAATTTCCTTAATTACACCAAAAAGTCATTTTTTTACGCACAAAAATTATTCGTACACTTCATGAAATGTTGAAAATAAACAACAATTCCAAAGATTTAAGGATTTTAATCTTTAGTGAGCCCTTCGTTGGCTTTAATGAAAGCTTGTAAACGTCGACACATGCTTTTTATAAAGTTGCTCGTTTCGTCAGTATCAAATCCCTTTCAGGTATTAATGCGGTTTTTAAGGATTCCTTCGTGGATGTGTTGTCTTTTTCTGGACGATATCCCATAAATGTTCTATGGGGTTCAAATCAGGTGATTGTAGAGTCGGTCCTTGCAGTGATATAAAAGCCACTCTTCCACTAAATACGACAAATATTTCGGGTCGTTATCTTATTGAAATACGAAAGACGATGGATTCTGTCCAAGCTTAACGGCACTTGGAATTAAATTTTGGCCTGAAATGTCTTTATACATAAATTTATTAATTTTATCTTTCTTAAAGACCATTCGATCCACTCCACCTGCAGCTATTCACCCATAAACCATCCCATTCTTGCCAACGTGCTTAAAAGTTGGAATCAAGATTTTCCTTCATGGATTTATTTGCCTTTAAGAGGACCGCCGTGTCCAAAATTTTTACTTTTTGATTTGTCAATAATATATATATACAACAATATATTTATATTGGTATTTTTACCAGAATATGCTGAAAAACTGTCAACGTTATGCTTTCTTCGTGCAAAGCTAAGAAAATAAAACGTTATTGAGTGAAGTCTGATCCCAGGCAACTAGCTAAATAGAGAGACTAAAAATAATAGATACCCAAATATTGGGCTGCTATCTCAGTAAGAATAATACTGAATAAAAAACCTTTTCCGATATATGCCTATATGGACAAGTAGTTTCAGTAGCAGTTCCAGATAAGACAGGACTTCAAATTTCCTGCTAAATGCTTCGGATCGTTGTCCTGATTAAATCGAAAGCTATCGGAAAATTAAGGAAAGCCCCATGCTTTCTGCTCAAAAATTAGCTGCAGAGGTCGAGTACGAAATGGGCTACCTACCTATAAGACGCGATTTTTTTTTTAATGAAGAAAAGAATTCAAAAATATCGTCAAATGCAAAATATATGCAATATCAAATTTCAGTAAACTTGTTTTTGTTTTTTATCCCCTACCCTTTTTTGTACTTATTAGTTAAGAACATTCTACTTGACAGCTGCATACAGTCGGCGGAAGTTTATACCTTAATATCGCGAGAAATACGTAACGGAAAATAAAATGTAATATCTCAAATGAAAGATATACATTTCGACCATATATATTTACAAGTTTTAACTTAAATACTAGATAATTTCCTTAATAACACCAAAAAGTCATTTTTTTACGCACAAAAATTATTTGTACACTTCATAAAATGTTGAAAATAAACAACAATTCCAAAGATTTAAGGATTTTAATCTTTAGTGAGTCCTTCGTTGGCCTTAATGAAAGCTTGTAAACGTCGACACATGCTTTTTATAAAGTTGCTCGTCTCGTCAGCATCAAATCCCATTCAGGTATTAATGCGGTTTTTAAGGATTCCTTCGTGGATATGTTGTCTTTTTCTGGACGATATCCCATAATTGTTTTATGGGGTTCAAATCTGTTGATTGTAGAGTCGGTTTTTGCTCCTTGCAGTGATATAAAAGCCACTCTTGCACTAAATACGACAAATATTTCGGGTCGTTATCTTATTGAAATACGAAAGAAGATGGATTCTGTCCAAGTTTAACGGCACTTGGAATTGAATTTTGGCCTGAAATGTCTTTATACATAAATTTATTAATTTTATCTTCCATAAAGACCATTCGATCCACTCCACCTGCAGCTATACACCCATAAACCATCCCATTCTCGCCAACGTGCTTAAAAGTTGGAATGAAGTCTTTTCCTTCATGGATTCATTTGCCGTTTGACATACTTTAAAAGGACCGCCGTGTCCAAAATTTTTAATTTTTGATTTGTTAATAAATATAACATATTCCCAAAATAATTCCGGCTTGCTTACATGCACTTTTGCGATCTCCAAACGCATTTTTTGTTATAATCACAAATCAATGGGTTTTTACAAACAACTCTACAATGTACACCAGCATTGTGCAGGGCGTTCCGGATGGTTTGGGAAAAATATTTTTTTTTTGAAGGCTTCCCTAGGGTTTTAAGAATTGTTGTGGATGTTATTCTGGGATTTTTTAATTCCGTATTTACAACTTTATGCTCCTCCCGTGGTGTCAGTATGTGGTTCCTTCCAGATTTTCTATGTTCTACTGCAAATTCTCCAGTGTATTGCGTATTGTTTTTTTTATCAAACTTTGCATTGTGGAAGGTGACTTGACAATATTTCTACCAATTTCGGGTGAATTGCGGTTCGCTAAATATAATTTTATTATAGTTCTTCGAAAATTTAGGGATAAATCTTGACCCCGACCCATTTCGTCCAATTACAGCAAAAAAAAGCAGAGAAACTAACTAAACTACACCGAAGTTTGTTCCGAAGTACAGCTCAAACAAGAATCGCGGATTTTCGTGGCATTCAGAAATAGAAGTCAAGAATTAGAAGTGTGCGAATAACTTTTGTGCGTAAAAAATGACTTTTTTGCGTTTTTAGGGAAATTATCTATTATTTAAGTTAAAATTTGTTAATTTTATGCTTAAAATATATGGTCGAAATGTATATCTTTTATTTGAGATATTACATATTAATTTCCGATACGTATTTTTCGATATACTAAGGAATAAACTTCATACTCATGGGTGTACGAATAAATGAATTCATTAATTAATTAATAAATTAATTTTAATGTGCACTTTTTGATATACTGGTACATATGTACATACATATGTAATTCCAACTAAGAGATCATGAAGCCGTTCGCCACTAATTAAGTGAGTATGGAAATGCATATTTATATTCTATAAAAATAGAACTGCAGAGAAGTTTTTCAAAACATGTTTGATACCTTGGGTCTGGTAAAATTAATTTCTTGCTGGCCCTTGCTGCTGGAGTACATTTAGACTTTTCCATTGCCATCAGATAGCTGACATCAGCTAAGACCGCTTCCAAATCCGCCATGGCTTCTGTTAATTTTCTCAACTTTTGTTCGTTATTTCATATATATTTTTTCAACTTTCTAAGCACTTAAAATGCAAATAAACATATTTGAAATTATTAATTTGCTTTCTTATTTGTTGTCAACAAATGACTTTTTTTGAGTTGTAGCTGAACTAAAAACTACCAAATAAAACAAATACAGCTCATATTATTATTAGGGGTTATTTTGGAACGATAGAATATAAAACAAGTGTATAACGAGCATTATCAGTATATGTAAGCTATCTTAAGATATGTTTAGAAAATACCAAACATCGCAATTAACTGCAGGCAAGCGCAATGCCCATGTGAGGCCCTAAATCCTATACTTATTAATCAATTCCGTAACAGTGTTCAGATTTGCAAGATCTTATAAATTGATTAAAATTGGAATATATTTCAGATTGAACCAAAATTGGGTGCTAAAGTGGTTCAAGTCATTCTCTTTTCTAGGTATTTATTATTTTATAGCCGGAACCTTAAAATGCATATCGACACTGCGGTTAAACTAAGATTGGTAGAACAAAAACTAAAACGCAATCTTTTAAGTATTGGTATTAACATATTTAATAGCTAATAGTCAACATAAAACCAAAAAATTTGCATAACTAAGCTAACCAGCACGTTGCCATCCTCGTACGTGACCATTCAATAGGCCACCGCCGCGAATGCAGATTGACTTGCATCCATGAACACGTGCAATTCGATGGTCCGAACCATGCCCAAAATAGGGGCGAGGACATCGGAACTGTCCCACGGCGCCCGTCTCCCTGCGCCAGGCCGGAAAGGCTTTGCCTTTCTCCTCCTATTTGAACAACAGCTTCGCTGTAATCATCAGTCAGCACAGAAATCCCAATGGGTCGAACGGTGACATCAGCAGGCTCAAATTACCCTCTTTGTAGGGACTCGATCTCCACTTAGAACGCTACCTGGCACTCGGTGATACTCCACTTTGAATCTGAGGTCATCCGTGGCTATCTGCCAGCCAATTCCAGGGATCTTCTGCTCAGCCTCACCCAATCCGACACTCTTGACTTGTCCAGGTGGTCCCAACGCCGCTTTCACGATGGGTGAGATGGATGAAAACTGGCATAATTCGAATCCAGCATCCTCATGAATCTCCTTCACTCGGGTAGATAAACTAATAGCTTCGCTCTTTGTAGCGAAACTGTCCACATAGTCATCGACGTAGAGGTGGTCGATGATGGCCTTGACTGCCCTTTGGAGGCTTCTCCACATCCGGGCCTCGATCGTCGAGGCCATCTCTCCAAAGCAATCGTCGGGAATAGCACTTGGGTCGGATCCGCACTTGGTGGAACAACTCCTTGATGTCGCCGTAGACTCCGACTGCTCCTTCCCTGAAGTGGAAGAGCACGGCTGGCAAGGGCTTCTTGTTCAGGTTTAGTCAAGGTTCCTCCAACTATCGCTGCAGCGTGGAACACAAGCCGGGCCCCACCGGCATTGTTCCGGTTTCGACACCAAAATGGCAAATACCATAGACAGGCGCTTGTCACCGCGACCTCATCCGGCTGCCAATGCCAACTACCCGTTGCGCTTCAACTCCTTCTCGACCGTTTGTGCGCCATCTCATAGCTCCGTGGCAGCTCAGCGTAGTCGTCCTTCCAGAGTAATCCCGTCTGGTAACGACGCCCACTTTCATCGTGGTGTCTTCGAGAATCCTTTGTACCCGCGCGTCATCGCTGCTTCACAGCAAAGCTTTCCACCTCGACTCAGGCTTGAAACGGCGTACACGTTTGTTAAGGCGCGTCAAATGGGTTTCCCAGCTTCACTTATCTCCAGGCTCACCACGTTGGTAGGCTCTATGCTGGCCCTTCCTCCATACCATTGAATATTCAGCTGTCGATGGTCGTCGGAGGACCATTGATCCAAGACCGCTTATGTGTCCACCTGGCGACCAGCTCCGTACAGTGTTACTGGCAGTATACGAACAACAGTCGGCCTCCATTGACGTCGACGCAGCTTGAATTCCACTGCACGGGCGCCTCTGTTGGTTGCGAGGCCCTTCTCTCCAGTCTGTTTCTGGGGACAGCTGACTGGTGGCCCTTTTCGAGGTCCCTTTGACCACCTCGTGGCGAAGACATCCTCCGGGCTACGTCTGGAAACAGCTGACTGTTGGTTGCCTCCGTTGTGGCTTATGAAGCCACCTCGCTGCGCCATCTTTGCACTTCGTCCGCATCATGTAGCAGACGGTAATGCAACCTGTGGCATCCGTTGATCTGGTACTCGCCATGCACATCGCAGAATCTGGTCGTATGTGAAGCAGAGCCGATGCCTCTTCATTATGCTCCACCTGTCCAGTGGCAAAGCTCCGATAAACTTCCTGCAGCTCGTCGCAGCATGTTGCCCTCCACATGCAGAAATCAACGCCGCGGCCCCTTTTCCTCGACGTCCAAAATGATGTTTGTGTACTGCTGTAGCCACGCGCTGAAGTGCGCTACAGTGGGAACTACTTGTCCCTAGGAAACTTTGCCACAAGCTCCTCCATTAGCGTTGGGTTCCGCTGCTCCGCCTTCGCTAACTGCAAGAAGGCCATGAGGTTACTCACTCGGGTTTCAAAGGGAACGATCCTCGCCAGGTGCTGCTCCAAAATCGGTGGCACCTCTGGCACTCTGTCCAGCTGGCTACATATAATTTCCTCCGGTCGGCCAAACCTGAAGCGCAGCTTCTCCATCACGGCGCTGACGTTCCCATTGTGAATCAGCAGTGACTTCACTCGCGTCAGCGCTTTCAACAACCTTTGGTTGTTATCCAACTCTGTGTAGTTGAGGCGTAGGATACGACAAATGGCTATGCTGAAACCACAATGTGGGTCCATGCGTTGACTGCGCAGCACTTGTCGCAAACAGTGATTCCACAAGATGATTGCTAGTCGTTAGCAATGGCGCTCCACTCCAATATAGAGGCAGCGTGCAAGCCGCACTGCTCGCACCTACACCGCTTTGTGGGACCGGCCCGACCCCGTTAGTTGGTACCTCACCGACTTCCGAAATGGCGGCACCTGTGCTTTCTTGCCGCTGCCTGCGGCCGCCGATGCTTGACGCTCCTTGCGCCATCTGGCCCGCTGGCTGCGGACACCGTCCTTGGGGTTCCATCCGCCTCCTTACCGCTGGCTGTGGTCTCCTTAACTGACGCTGGCTGCGTCTCCCTGTCGCTGGCTGCGACCCTCTGTGTCGCAGGCTGAGACTCCTCTGCTGTTACGGGATGTGCTCCTGGCAACTCTCTAGCTGGTCGTCAAGCCGTCCTCAAGCGCAAGTTGGCCTTGCAGTCTCCCTAGCACTGCGAATAAAAGGAGTTGTCTTGTGTCATATGGAGTTGCTTTTAACGACTTCCCTACACGAGTAGGTCCGAAGAGAGGGTTAACTTCAAGCGCCTATGGCCGTGGCAGTAGTGAGCGTTTTATTCTGTGAACAATTGTTTTCGTTTGTGACAAGCCAGCGGTTTGTGCGCAGCGTCGTATTGAGGTTAAGGCTAAGTTGATCCAGAATTTCCCCGTGGCTTAGTGTGTAGGTGTTTGATAGACTGGACAGTCTGAAGAGAGGGTACTGGATTTGCGGAAAAAAGGTTCAGACCGACAAGACCACAAGCCATTTACTCACTTTATGATATAAGTCTAGCGATAAGTCAATCAATTTAGTTTGTTTAGCATTAAGGAGAAATAAGAGTAGAGAGGAGGTCACTAGTTTATAGGGAATAAACCATGATTATTATAATAAAGTAAGAAACCAAAAGTCTTGTCCTGTATTTCGTCGCCATGCCGCTGTCCAGCCGCTGCAGAGCTCCGAAGGCGTTCATTAGCCCTTGTTCGTTCTGTTTCAAGAGGACTTCTCAGGCCTACGCAAGTCGTTAGGTCAAACACGCATTCATATATCGATAACTAAGGAGACGCCCCAGGGGACTTCGCGTAGAGGGGAAGCTGAAGGCAATCTACCTATTAGCCGACGAGCTAATCCGTCCGGCATCAGCATGCATCCTTGTTCCTCACCGGTATTTTCAATGCGAAAGAGGAACATGCGCTCATGCTGTTCGTTACAGTTATCATTATTTTAAATAATTTCTCCTAGTTGTTCTGGCGCCCAACTTAGTGGCCATGCTTTTTGTTATATGGCAAAACGCAACCAAATTTTGTGTGAGTGTATATTGAAAACTGTTTTCGGCTGGTTTATATGGAATGGCATTGACCACGCCAGAAATTTCTAGCCGCCATGTGCGAAGTCGCTTGGAATTCTACTCCCAAAAATAAGGAGAGTAGACCACGACGTAGCAGCAGCAGCATTTGCTTCCAGTATCGGTTGCGAATTCGGCTCACCAGTAGGATTTTATTCGTAAGGAAGAAAGCATCTGACCACGGGACCCGACCGCAAAGCATCTACAGCAGCAACGAGATCGTCGAACGGTGACAGCAGGCTTAAATTCTCCCTCTTTGTAGGGACTCAATCTCCACTTAGAACGCTACCTGGCACTCGGTGTTACTCCACGTTGAATCTGAAGTCGTCCGTAGCTATCTGCCAGCCAATTCCAGGGATCTTCTGCTCAGCCTCACCCAATCCGACACTCTTGACTTGTCCAGGTGGTCCCAACGCCGCTTTCACGATGGGTGAGATGGATGAAAACTGGCATAATTCGAATCCAGCCTCCTCATGAATCTCCTTCACTCGGGTAGATAAACTAATAGCTTCGCTCTTTGTAGCGAAACTGTCCACATAGTCATCGACGTAGAGGTGGTCGATGATGGCCTTGACTGCCCTTTGAAGGCTTCTCCAAACGTTCATTACGTTCATGTCGTACACATCCGGGCCTCGATCGTTGTTCAGACGAACACTAATAAAAACAAAATATAATACTTTATGAGCTCTGTGAATGTCATGTGACACTTGTAAATCGATCCAGAGCCATAAACTATGATCTGTAATTGTAGACCCTATAGGGGAGCGGTGCTAGCACTTGTAATCTGTAAGTGCAGGCCACTTGAGCCAAACCGAAGATAATCACTTGAGATGTTTCTCACACTGCGCCAAAGGTTCCTGTGCGGGGGTCAAATGATAACTCTCCCGCGCAGGCAGACGCGGCCTCTGCGTAGGCCACAGATAAGACCAGAATAAGAATTTCATGTTAGTTTCC